TACTTCAACGAAAATTCTTGTATAGTCGTCCAAGACCCTTGTAATTTTTTCTTTAGATCAATGTCACTTAGATCGCTTTCCTTCTTTAAATACATGTCTTTGTCCGGATAATCAGGATTACGCTGATTAACAGTTGAAAGTTTTGGTTCAACAATATTTTCTTACTCAAGAATTTTGGAATTCATTTTATAAAAGACTGGATTTTAACGATATTCTGGACAAAATTTGAATAGAAACAATAAGACGTAAATAATTTGAAAGACAGATAGTGCCTCTTTTTCTCCAAATGAATCTCTCTCTTTCTTTTTTATTAGCTCACCTGAGCCGAAGGCTCAAGTGAGCTTTTCTGATCACATTTTGTCCGGCGTCCGTCTGTCTGTCCGTCCGTCTGTCTGTCCGTCTGTCTGTAAACTTTTCACATTTTCGACTTCTTCTCAAGAATCGCTGGGCCAATTTCAACCAAACTTGCCACAAAGTATCCTTGGGTGAAGGGGATTCAAGTTTGTTCAAATGAAGGGCCACGCCCTTATTCAAGGGGAGATAATTGGGAATTAATGAAAATTTAGTTGTATATTTTAAAAATCTTCTTCTCAAGAACCACTGTGCCAGGAAAGATGAAACTTATGGGGAAACATCCTCAGGTAGTGTAGATTCAAGTTTGTTCAAATCATCACCCCCTGGGGGTAGGGCGGGGCCAAAATGGCCGACCAAAGTTTTACATAGAAATATATAGGAAAATTCTTTAAAAATCTTCTTCTCAAGAATGACAAAGCCATAATTCATCATATTTATATGGAAACATGCTCAGGTAGTGTAGATTCAAGTTTGTTCAAATCATGACCCCCGGGGATAGGGCGGGACCAAAATGGCCGATCAAAGTTTTACATAGAAATATATAGGAAAATTTTTTAAAAATCTTCTTCTCAAGAATGACAAAGCCATAATTCATCATATTTATATGGAAACATGCTCAGGTAGTGTAGATTCAAGTTTGTTCAAATCATGACCCCCGGGGATAGGGCGGGACCAAAATGGCCGACCAAAGTTTTACATAGAAATATATAGGAAAATTCTTTAAAAATCTTCTTTTCAAGAATGACAAAGCCATAATTCATCATATTTATATGGAAGCATGCTCAGGTAGTGTAGATTCAAGTTTGTTCAAATCATGACCCCCGGAGGTAAAGCGGGGCCAAAATGGCCGACCAAGGTTTTACATAGAAATATATAGGAAAATTCTTTAAAAATCTTCTCAAGAATGACAAAGCCATAATTCACCATATTTATATGGAAGCATGTTCAGGTAGTGTAGATTCAAGTTTGTTCAAATCATGACCCCGGGGGGTAGGGCGGGGCCAAAATGGCCGACCAATGTTTTACATAGAAATATATAGGAAAATTCTTTAAAAATCTTCTTCTCAAGAATGACAAATTTAAGCCATAATTCATCATATATATTTGGAAGCATGTTCAGGTAGTGTAGATTCAAGTTTGTTCAAATCATGACCCCCGGGGGTAGGGCGGGGCCAAAATGGCTAACCAAAGTTTTACATAGAAATATATAGGAAAATTCTTTAAAAATCTTCTTCTCAAGAATGACAAAGCCATAATTCATCATATATATATGGAAGCATGTTCAGGTATTGTAGATTCAATTTTGTTCAAATCATGACCCCCGGGGGTAGGGCGGGGCCAAAATGGCCGACCAAAGTTTTACATAGAAATATATAGGAAAATTCTTTAAAAATCTTCTTTTCAAGAATGACAAAGCCATAATTCATCATATTTATATGGAAGCATGTTCAGGTATTGTAGATTCAATTTTGTTCAAATCATGACCCCCGGGGGTAGGGCGGGGCCAAAATGGCCGACCAAAGTTTTACATAGAAATATATAGGAAAATTCTTTAAAAATCTTCTTTTCAAGAATGACAAAGCCATAATTCATCATATTTATATGGAAGCATGTTCAGGTAGTGTAGATTCAAGTTTGTTCAAATCATGACCCCGGGGGGTAGGGCGGGGCCAAAATGGCCGACCAAGGTTTTACATAGAAATATATAGGAAAATTCTTTAAAAATCTTCTTCTCAAGAATGACAAAGCCATAATTCACCATATTTATATGGAAGCATGTTCAGGTAGTGTAGATTCAATTTTGTTCAAATCATGACCCCCGGGGGTAGGGCGGGGCCAAAATGGCCGACCAAAGTTTTACATAGAAATATATAGGAAAATTCTTTAAAAATCTTCTTCTCAAGAATGACAAAGCCATAATTCATCATATATATATGGAAGCATGTTCAGGTAGTGTAGATTCAATTTTGTTCATATCATGACCCCCGGGGGTAGGGCGGGGCCAAAATGGCCCACCAAAGTTTTACATAGAAATATATAGGAAAATTCTTTAAAAATCTTCTTCTCAATCATTTTCTAAAAAATAGCAAATCCATGATTGGTCATGAGACTACTTTTGGATTTAAACTTTACAATAAAAAGCCATTTTATACTAGTCCTACCCTTGGTGCTCAGGTGAGCGATGTGGCCCATGGGCCTCTTGTTCTTTTTTCTTTCTTTCTTTCTTTTTAGCTCACCTGAGCTGAAGGCTCAAGTGAGCTTTTCTGATCAAAATTTGTCCGTTGTCTGTCGTCGTCGGCGTCGGCGTTGTCGGCGTCGGCATAAACTTTTCACATTTTCATCTTCTTCTCAAGAACCACTGGGCCAATTTCAACCAAACTTGGCACAAAGTATCCTTGAGTGAAGGGGAATCAAGTTTGTTCAAATGAAGGGCCACGCCCCCTTCCAAGGGGAGATAATTATGAATTTGTGAAAAATTTATGGCATTTTTAAAAAATCTTCTTCTCCAGAACCGCTGGGCCAGGAAAGATGAAACTCATGTGGAAGCATCCTCAGGTAGTGTAGATTTAAATTTGTTCAAATCATGACCGCCGGGGCAAGGGTGGGGCCAAAATGGCCGACCCAAGTTTTACATAGGAATATATAGGAAAAATCTTTAAAAATCTTCTTCTCCAGTACCACTGGGCCAGGAAAGATGAAATTCATGTGGAATCATCCTCAGGTAGTGTGGATTCAAGTTTGTTCAAATCATGACCCCCGGGGCTAGGGTGGGGCCAAAATGGCCGACCCAAGTTTTACATAGGAATATATAGGAAAAATCTTTAAAAATCTTTTTCTCCAGAACCACTGGGCCAGGAAAGATGAAACTCATGTGGAATCATCCTCAGGTAGTGTGGATTCAAGTTTGTTCAAATCATGACCCCCGGGGCTAGGGTGGGGCCAAAATGGCCGACCCAAGTTTTACATAGGAATATAAAAGAAAAATCTTTAAAAATCTTCTTCTCCTGTACCACTGGGCCAGGAACGATGAAACTCATGTGGAATCATCCTCAGGTAGTGTAGATTCAAGTTTGTTCAAATCATGACCCCCGGGGCTAGGGAGGGGCCAAAATGGCCGACCCAAGTTTTACATAGGAATATGTAGGAAAAATCTTTAAAAATCTTCTTCTCAAGAACCACTGGGCCAGGAGAGATGAAACTCATGTGGAATCATCCTCAGGTAGTGTAGATTTAAGTTTGTTCAAATCATGACCCCTGGGGCAAGGGTGGGGCCAAAATGGCCGACCCAAGTTTTACATATTAATATGTAGGAAAAATTTTTAAAAATCCTCTTCTCAAGAACCACTGGGCCAGGAGAGATGAAACTCATGTGGAATCATCCTCAAGTAGTGTAGATTCAAGTTTGTTCAAATCATGACCCCCAGGGCTAGGGTGGGGCCAAAATGGCCGACCCAAGTTTTACATAGGAATATGTAGGAAAAATCTTTAAAAATCTTCTTCTCAAGAACCACTGGGCCAGGAGAGATGAAACTCATGTGGAATCATCCTCAGGTAGTGTAGATTCAAATTTGTTCAAATCATGACCCCCAGGGCTAGGGTGGGGCCAAAATGGCCGACCCAAGTTTTACATAGGGATATATAGGGAAACCTTTTAAAATCTTCTTTTCAAGTACTTCAAAGCTATGATTTGTGATATTTATATGGAATCATCCTCAGGTAGTGTAGATTCTAGTTTGTTCAAATGATGAATGCCTGGAGGGGGGTGTTGGAGTAAATTCAAACCTGATGTGCTCAGGTGAGCGCTGTGGCCCCTGGGCCTCTTGTTTTTCTTTTCTTTTTTTTTTGAAAATGATGTGTACGCACTTGCATACTTGCGTATAGGCAGCTACGCGCCTGCTCATTATAAATATTCTACACAACAGGTTATCTGATTGGCACGCTTTTCATCATATTCCACCTCTTCGGAACAACTAGTGTATTTTCCCGCAATAATTATCGTTCGTTTAAAGAAAACTCCCAAGAGAAGTAGACGTCACAATAGCCTGGTTTACATCACAAAATTGATGATAATGTGTTGACCAAAGGGTTTTAGTGACTTTACATTAAAATTGAAAGTGAATTTGAGAGCGATTATTCAGAAATACCATATTCCCCTCGGGTGAAGACCTCGGGGAATATGATTTTTCTTGGCTAAATAAGTCTTCATATTTCCCTCACTATCATGCAATAAATGTATAATATTCATCTGGTATACAGAGTATATCTAGTATACAGGCTTAAGTTCACTTTAAAACACCTGCAAATGAATTTGCCCGATGGTAAATTCATGCACCTATTGCCTTAGTATTGATGAAGGAGATATTATTGTCTATTTAAATTTCCCCTTTGAATTTGCCCAATGAAGATGAGAATAAAGGGGCAAAACTATAAAATGGGGTCAGTGTTTTCCATAAATCTACTGTATAAAAAACTATAAATACAGTTTATTTCGTGTATCTACATAGGTGATGTACGGAGCTGAGATCAGTGATGAATATCACCACTGGAACTGCTCAGTGGACTTGCAGTGTTACGGAGCATGCTTCACATCAGCACAATTGACAGTTGACATGGTAACAGCTACATCACCTCAACGTTTTGCTATTGACCTCGTTAGACGCAGTGACCTCATTTCACTCCAGATGATTAATCCTACGACCCATGACTTGATGACGGTGGAGGGCTTATCAGTTCCTGTTACTGTACAGGTCCCTATCACGGGGGATTATAATGAAAGTGCCCACTCCCTCCAGGTAATGTTAATGACATCTTAAATGAAATTTGATTCTTAGGCATAATTAGTGTAAATGTATTATGTTTTAATGTGTACAATATTCTGCCAAAATTGACTTTTGAACAAGTTACCGTACATTTGATATAGCACATTTCTTAATGTTCTATTCATTATGCATGTGCAAGACATTTAGCACTGAATTAGCAGAAATTTCTTATTTGCCAAAAGCACTAAAAAGAATACACTGCCAATTGCATACTTGTATAGTATGCAATTTCTTCCACTGAAACTGATATATCCTATTGTATGAAATGCCACAAGAACATTTGAAGCAACTTTGTCCTTGTTTGATGATGAGATAAAACAGTTTTTGAACAAGGAAATATACCTTTTGTCTCACTTAAAACAAGATGTTATACATATTATTATATGATTGAATAATTTCCATCTCTCTGATTGGCCGAGATACAACTATGTTAGAAAAATACTATGTTGTATTGACCTGCACGTGACGTTCCAGGTGAATACAAGGATTTATTTCCTCTACATTGATCTAAAAATAGATCGGGAAATTCCAAATTGATACAAATTGTTTTGGAAAGCTATTTAAACGACTATGACTTTTTTTTTTACATGTGAACAAAACATAAGCGAATATATTTTTTCGGGTTAGGGTAGTAAGACGGGATGCAGGACCCCCCCTCCAACACTTTTACTGAACAACAATTTTTACTTTTTGGCAGTCAGTTTTCCCTAATAATACTTCTTTCTCTAAAAATCTATACTACAAAAAAGACTGACATTAAAAATTGTTTTTCATGGTAACTGAAATTGATAAAAAACATTTCAAATTGATACGACTGTTAAGGTTTATTTACATTTTAAGTCTGCTTCTCTCTTGTATTTGGCTAAGACTTAATTAAATGCAAGCAAGTAATGAGGTGTATCATTTTATAAATGAATCATATAATAAAACAATTATTGCTGTTTTTTCGGTCAATACAATGATTTAGCCATCTTCGAAGTACAATATTCACCTCGCCCTTTGGGCTCGGTGAATATTGTACTCCTCAGATGGCTAAATCGTTGTATTGACCTCAAAAGACAGCAATAATTGTATATTATATACTGATACTAAATATACATGTATTAATGCTACAGTGTAATATGTGGATGGGATCCAATTGGACCAACGATGATTGTGTGAGTTCCTCGCCAGAATTCATGGCTGACGGATTCCATGTGAACTGTACTTGTAACAGGCTAGGTGTTATTAGGTAAGTCCTGTCTGTTTTACAAATCAATTGCAGAGTTCTTCCTCAAGTACAACATTTTTTGTGCCTTCCTTCGAAGAAGGGAGGGCATATTGCTTTGCTGCTGTCTGTTGGTCTGTCCACCAAGTTTCTGTTCATTTTCTTCACAACCGTTGCACATGCTGAATTGAAATCTGGTAAACAGATTTATCATAAGAATATGTAAGTTAAGTTCTGTTTTGGATATGATCAAGCTATTTTTGGCAGAGTTATGCCCCTTGGACTTAAAAATTCCAATTATTTGCAGTTTCCATTCATTATCTTTGCAGAGATTTCATCGATGAAATGAAATTTTTTATACAGATTTAACATTTGAATATGTAGATCAGGCTCTCTTTTTGGTACAAAGGAGCAATTTAGGACAGGGTTATGCCTCTTGGACTTAGAAGAAAAATTCCAATTATATGGGGAAGGGGGCATATTTTAAGTGTTTTACAAACATCTCCTGTTTATAAAGTGTTTTATTTATATGTAACAATCTGTTTATTTACATGTTTAAAAACTGCTTAAAGAATGAGTAATTAAGATTCTTAGCTCACCTGAGCCAAAGGCTCAAGTGAGCTTTTCTGATCAAAATATGTCCATTGTCTGCAGTCGTCGTCGTCGTTGTTGTAAACTTTTCACATTTTCGACTTCTTCTCAAGAACTACAGGGCCAATTTCAGCCAAATTTGGCACAAAGTATCTTTAGGTGAAGGGGATTCAAGTTTGTTCAAATGAAGGGCCACGCCCTTATTCAAGGGGAGATAATTAAGAAATAATGAAAATTTGATGGTATGTTTTAAAAATCTTCCCAAGAATCACTGTGCCAGGAAAAATGAAACTTACAGCGAAGCATCCTCAGGTACTGTAGATTCAAATTTGTTCAAATCATGACCCCCGGGGTAGGGCGGGGCCACAATGGCCGATCAAAGTTTTACATAGAAATATACAGGAAAATTCTTTAAAAATCTTCTTCTCAAGAACCACTTTGTCAGGAAAGATGAAACTGTATACATATATGTAAAGGGCAATAAAGTCACAGGTAGTCAAAGAAATATGCAAGCATCCTTAATTAGTGAAGATTCAAGTTTGTTCAAATCATACCTTTTCCCTGTTAAGGATTGGTTGGGACCACTATTGGGTTTTAACTTTTCAATAGTAAACAGATTTCTGCTTTTTTACAAGCCATATTGCTCAAGTGAGCGATGTGGCCCATGGGCCTCTTGTTTTTGTATGAAATATTATATGTATATATGTATTATGTATTTTGTAAACAAATATTTTCAGTGTGTTTGAGGGTCCAGTTGTCATAGAATCAACAACTCTACTTGAGAAAACAACACAAGAAGAAACAACAGTGACAACAGAAATGACAACAATGAAAACAACAACAACAACAACCCCAGAAGTAGAGATACCTATAACGTTTGTCACCGAGGCAAATATTGATCAGAATACACAAGACGTGGTCATATCAAAAGCTGTGAAGTCAACCACCACCAGTAAGTTGATTTTGTGGCCCAGTATCTTAAGAAAATATTGCAGATACTTGCTCTGCTATTTCAGTCTTTCATTCAATATCTTGAAAGTTTGCATCAGAATTGTGGATTCCCATTATCCAATTTTGGAATTCTATTTTTATTTCCATTTAAGACTCTTTAACATTTACCCCCTGTATGGGACATTAGGAGAGTCATGCTTTCCAGTGTTTCATTTAACACATCATCAGTTCATACAGCAATAATTAATGTTGTAAAATTCTTAAAAAATATTTGTAATAAATGAAATTTCAAATGTAAATTTTTAGCTCTTCTGAGCCAAAGGCTCAAAGAGCTAATGCTATGGCCATTTGTGCGGTGTGCGTCGTGCGGTGTGCGTTAACTTTTTAGAAAATGGGCCATAACTCAAGAACGCCTTGGCCAATCAGTGTCAAATTTGTCACAGGGTATCCTTGGCCCAAGGGCTACCATTTATACTAAAATAAGGGTTGGGACCCTTAAACAAGGGGAGATAATCAGGAAAACAAAACCAAAAGTACTGGTTGCTAAAAAATCTTCTCCAGAACCACCAGGCAGATTTTCACCAAACTTACATACAAGGATCAGGATATGTTGAAGATTAATAATTGTTCAAGGCATGACCCTGGGGCAAAGGGCGTGGTCTCAAGGTCACTTCAAAGTTGACCTAAATTTACAATTGATAAAAACGTTTATATTTTGCTTACTATAAGGACTAGGATCATCAAATCTTGTAAGTTGATACATCTTAAGACTTCACATCATGTTAAGTCAAAAGTAGGTCACAGTGACCTACTTTTTTAATTTTGCGGGCATTTGTTTTCAAATTGATTTGAAGGCATATTTTGGACACTTTAAGGCCTATGATCATCAAACTTTGTTAGTTGATGCATTTTGGGTCCTTCAACAATGTCAACTCAAAAGTAGGTCACCTTGACCTACTTTTTGAACTTTATGACATCCTTTTTAAAACATTTAATCCCATTATTGCAGACATTGAGAGGGTTAGAATCATCAAATCTTGTAAATTGCTGCATCTTGGGTCCTTAAAACATATTTATGAAAAAGTAGGTCACTGTGACCTACTTTTTGAATTTTGCAGGCATATGTTTTCATATTGTTTAAAAGGCATATTTTGATTACCTTCAGACCTACGATCATCAAACTTGGTCAGCAGATGCATCTTGGGACTTTGAAAAATGTTGACTAAAATGTAGGTCACGGTGACCTACTTTTGACATTTTATGGCTTTATTTAAGTATCTTTGGTATTTATTGGCTAAGAGTCATCAAACTTTGTGAGTTGATGCATCTTGGGTTTTCGGAGAGTGATGACCAAAAAGTAGGTCATGGTGACCTACTTTTGACATTTTATAGCTTTATTTAAGCATCTTAGGTATTAATAAGCTTAGAATCATCAAACTTTGTGAGTTGATGCATCTTGGGTTTTTGGGGAGTGACGACCAAAAAGTAGGTCATGGTGACCTACTTTTGACATTTTATAGCTTTATTTAAGTATCTTAGGTATTTATATGCTTAGAATCATCAACTTTGTGGGTCGATGCATCTTGGGTTTTCGGAGAGTGTTGACCAAAAAGTAGGTCACGGTGACCTACTTTTAACATTTTATGGCTTTATTTAAGGGTCTCTGGTACTTATTGGCTTAGAATCATCAAACTTTGTCAGTTGATGCATCTTGGGTTTTCAGAGAATGTCAACCAAAAAGTAGGTCATGGTGACCTACTTTTGAATATCTCAGGTACTTATTGGCTGAGAATCATCAAACTTTGTCAGTTGATGTATTTTGGGCTTTCGAAAATCACCTACTAAAATTAGGTCACAGTGACCTACTTTTAACATTTTATGGCTATAATTAAGTATCTCCAGTACTTATTGGCTTGGAATAATCAAACGTTGTCAGTTGATGCATTTTGGTTTTTCCAAGAATGTAGATGAAAAAGTAGGTCAAGGTGACTTACTTTTGAATATCTCACATACTTATTGGCTTAGAATCTTAAATATTTATTAATGCATCTTGAGTCCTCAGAAAACTTCAATCTTAAAGTAGGTCATTGTGACCTACTTATGGTTTTTTTTATAGCTTTATTAAAATATCTTCAGTTATAATTGGCTAAGAATCATCAAACTTTGTCAGTTGATGCAACTTGGCTCTTGGAATACTTAGGGTTAGAGGCTTCAAATAGAAGTGATAGGTTGTACAATTTATCAGAAGAGCGATTCAAGGCCCTTGGGCCTCTTGTTTTTTACACATATCAAAGTTAAACTTTTTCATTTATGGGCATAATGCAGGCTTAAAATATAAGTAGAACTGTATATTTTGCATTTAACTATTGTGTAATAATTATTATGATTTTTTATTTCATGGGAAGCTTCACATTTACTTCCAGCTAAGAGTTCCCCTGTCCCTGACTCCACAACCCCCGTAAATTCTGTAAGCGTCCCCGCCTACGCCGGCAAGGTGTACATTTTGTTTGCCCTCCATGACAACTTTGCCACCATTGTAGCGGGACAGGAGAACAGTTTCAGGTTACACATTATGCAGATACTGACTTCCTACCTCAAAATCCCAGCCTCCAGGATAACCAATCTACAGGTGGAAGAAGTCAAAAACGATGACGATGACGGTAAAGATTAACAGAAATTTGTTATTGTCCAAAAACTATTAAGTTAGATTTCTTTATAATCACTTATTCTTAAGGGGGCTTAATTTTCTTTGTTTAAGAGGTATGAAGGGACCCACCAATTCTTTACCACTTTAAAAAGTAAAAATTTCAAATTTATGACTACTAATCATTTCTTCATCCATCAATTCACAAACCCGTACAGTAAAACAAGTTTATAACAAACAACCTTATAATGAATTGACACCTACAGGGAAGTGATTTTCATTCCCTGGGCTTCAAATTATACAAAAAACTGAATTGATATAATGAATGATGTGTAGAAAAAAGTTACATACAGTTTCTACACTAGGCAAAACAATTATTGACAAATGTGTATAAAACTAGGTCATTTAAACAGTGGAACTTGATTAATTAAATTTAGCAACAAATAATTTGAATTGTAAAACATCTTTTTTATACTGTCTTTCTGTTGTAGCTGGAAGTATAACCATCAAGTTTGAGGTCTTCTCTCGAGCTCTGGACTCGGAGCCCACCATGGGAGAAATCATCTTCCAGCTGAGGGAAGCCATCAGATCAGGGTCACTGGTCGTGACCTCTACTACTGGGCAGCGATTGGTTGTGGACACCAACTCATTTGCATGGTCAACATCAGAACTCAGAACTGAAATTGGTATGCCCTAAAGATTTAAAATCTCCTTGCTTTCTGATAACAATATTCATTTTGAAGATTTTTTTATTTTACTGCTATTGATCTTACAAGGTCACTTTTTAAAAAATCTATTTATATGTATGTTTAGACAGTGGAGCTAATTACACCATGTTCATCGTGTCTGGAGCAGTAGGAGCTTTTGTTCTGATCATCATTATGACTGGGATTGTTATCTATCTGATCAAAACCAAGGCTAACAAATCCCAACAGGTCACCCAGTCTCCTACGCCATACGGACCCAACATGCAAGGTAGAAAACATCTTAAGTGTGATACAATGAAGATTATCATAGTGACCTCTCAAGAAGTATATTCTAATAAATTTGTTCAGTTTGGATTATAAGGTAATGTAATTTAATTTCATGAGAAGCACCAACCACAAAAAATACCTTTTTTTTGCACATTTTTTTTTTTTTGCATTTTCTCAACTGTACGTGCTGTACTTGTAATATAGGTGTGGATGTTCCCCCGGCCCATGGTGGGGAAAAACAACAGTACGTCTGGTAACTGGGTGGAGACTGAGGCTAACACAGTGGACAGTGTCTCTGATGCTGGTCAGTATGTCCAGTTAAAAACATTGGAGAAATCAATGAACATTGATTAGGATAATTTACTGCATGCATAGCATCATATCTGCAAGTTGAAAGAACTGTGACTAATAGTTTCGTTATGCCTTTCTTCCTTCAAGTTAACACATTTGATTAAACAAATAAAAAATGTTTTTCATTCTTGTACTTTGAATTTTACATATATAATGTACTGAAGGATATAAGGATCATTTATGCAATTTCGTGCATATTTGAAATTTTGGTGATTTTTTAAGCCTCAATTTTAATAAATAAAATTTATTACCCTTTCATGAAAAGAGTTGTTAAAAGGAAAATTAACTGCTGGTTAAAATTTTAATTACAAATGAACTATATTGTATATTCTTCAAATTCATAAAAGTTTTTAAGGCCAAAATGCAATTTATGCTGAGTTAGATGGGGATAAAATGTAGGCAGGCAAAATTCTTAGTGAAGATGCCGAGCATATTAATCCATTTTGGGGTCCTCATGTTTGGGAATCAGGATTCATTTGCAGATAGTGATATTAAAATAAACAATGTATGCAACTGCAATAATCTGGTTGTGGAAAAGGCACAAGCAAACATCATGAAAGAAAATTCATATAAATGGCAGAAGTTAAGACTTCCAATACAATAGCAATGCCATTTTATTATAAAAAAAAAATATCTTCAAATTCTTATTAACATATCTTGTTTAAACTGAGTAATTTGAAAGAACTAATTTTGATTTTTTAGACACCTACAGAAGTTACTCAGCTAAACCTTTGTCACGTCTCCCTCCCATTCAGTAAGCTGAAGAAGAAAGGAGGGATCAATTCTGTTCAATTGCTCGGATGGATCTCTTAGGACTTTTGTTTTATAATTCAGTGATGTACATATATGTATATCTGATAAAAATAATTATGTCTTAGAAATGTATATCTTTGATTTTACACAATAAGAATATTCTGTTTTTATTTAGGAAAATGATATTATACTAAAACTTAACTTTAAATTCTTTATAGATTAATGATTATTAATATATTATGCAAATATGTATTTCTTTGTTGAAGTAAAAATAAAATTGTTTCTGGAAAAAAATAAAGAATTGTATGTTATACATGTATTCACAGAGCCTTGGCTAGAGAGAGTTTATCCCCTCCAAAGCCATACCACCTAAAAATGCTTGATGCCCAAAAAATATAGAGATTCTGATCCCCTGTGCTGGGCCCCAGAGGAGGATTTCATAACATTTTGTTATGGAACATTAGAGGATTTTGTGTTCTTTTAGTTCTTGTAGGTGTTAAAATAACTTTGAAAGGTAACCTTTTTTCATATTAATGTCCAGAAATTTGAATCAAAAACCTTTCCAAACAAAAAAATTCCTACATATCAATTTTGTTTTAAATTCCATGGAACATGTGAATCTAAATTAATCCAATGTCTGAAATTGAATTAAAAGTTCTGTACATGTCTATACACAGGCACCTGAATTTTTATCAGTAAGTCGCTAAATAAGCCAAATATCGAAAAATTCTACCCCCTCTATATATAAATACACAAGGTGTGCAACGCCATTTTGACCCCCTGCTCGATTCAGGCTTCAATTTAACACATAAATCGGATATGCCTACCGGTTTGCGTGTAGCATTGAGTTCAAATATGATATTTCTCGCTATACAATTCTTCCTAAAGTTTAAATTCAACGCGTTGATAATGCAAACAA